ACTAGCAATTGACTCTAAAATGTGTGTGTGTCCTAGAAAATTAAAAACATTTAGGAGTTTGAAAACTAGACGCAACATGATCAATAAACGTTCAGTGGCGTGGGGCTGTGGGCCACTGTAGTCAGTATCAGTCGCCTCAGAAGGAGACGGTGATAAATAATGAGGTTCCCCATGAAATTTGATTAAACATCTGTCTGTTGGGAGACAAATGAGTGGTCTAGGGTAGGGTTGTGCATGCGCTGTTGGACAAGATGCAGCAACTTCTACCCGGGATCTGAATAAATTCAGTCCTGTACCTATGGGGAATTGTCCGGAGTATTTGAGTGACTAGGATTGATTCTTCGATTGATCGCTCAGTTGAGGTAGCAGACTTGTCTTTGAATATTGTTTTCTTGCTCAGTTGAGCCTTCTGCTTCCTCACTCTCATAGTGTTCACTCACTCACTTACTCACTCTCGGCTTTGTCTCTTGGGTAGGCTATAGTTGGGTTTACTAATCCATTGAGACTTATTTCTCATTGATCTCTTTGCCCCCCCCCCCCCCCTCAATAAGAGCACTCAATAGGATGCATTTGACGTTGTCTGGCATTAGGGAAGAGAACTTTGTAACTCCCCTCTCAAAAGGTGCATCCTTGATTTGATTCTTGCATCGATCATTGTGTGGCTCCAGGAGGAAATAGAGATATTCCTCCTCAGAATTTGCTAGTGTTGTTGTTGTCACCCGGGGAGTAAAGTAGGAAGCCCCCCTGGAATGTGCTTTATTCATTGTATGGCACCAGGTGGAGTGAAAAAGAAACACCCCCCTCAGAATATGCACTTGGCGTGTGTCGGTGTTGAGGTGTGCATGCATTTGTTGATTTTCAGCTTAGTGGAGTAGTATACATGCCAGTACTCTCCTTCATAATGTGCATGCTTGCTGCCCCTAAGGAATGATTTGTCTTGAATAGGTGCCCTGGGAGCTTTTGTTGAACTTGTTTGGAAGCTCAAAAAAATATCTTCATCGCTTCCCCTTGACGTATGTGACGTCCTATGTTTGTGCGTGGGTTCTGAAATGAGGAGTTCAGAAGCCTTTCCGATATAGTGCGAATTCTGAGCTGAGTTACTCAGAAGCCAACTGTGGTTGCTCAGTAGCTTAATTTCCCATCATGTGTGTGGAGCAAACATATCAAGTACCACACATGAGGGTTATCTGCAAAAGAATTAAGAAACCTTTGGTACCCATTTAAGGATGGGTCTGTCCTTTCTCGCATAACACAAATTGTGAAATTTTTGTTTTATTTTTGTTCCTAAACCAGTCTCTTTTGAAGCTTTTGGAGATCTATATGACTGTAATTCTGATTTAGGAATCCATTTTTGAACAATAACAGTTTCAGCGCAACTGAATGATGGGATATGATTTTGAGAAGTAAAGATTTTCTCCCTTGATAGACGTTTCAAATGTTTACCTGAATAAACCTTGAGGGGATATTTCAGTTGAATATCATCACAAACATCATAGGTAGAAGCTTTAAATCATTTTGGTTTTGATTTCCCATCACTCACATCACAAAGATAACTTGAAGAATTAGACTGCCTGGTTGCATTAACAGAATCACTAGAATGAGTATTCACAAGAGTAGAACCATCAGTAGAAGACTTAGCAGACTTGTGTGTGAAAGGACTTGGTGACTGACTTCCAGAACTAGAATGAGTATCCTTGAAATTATTACAAGACTTGTTGAAAAGAGATTTTTATTTTTCAGAAAACATTTTGAGTCTTGCAGCCTCCTTTTGAGTTTGTTTGAAAATCCAGGCCATCCTCTTCTCTTGGCAATTATTAAGAACATTACCTTTCAGTTTTTCAAAATGAGAGTGAGAGGATGAGCCGTTTTTTTTAGAAGCCTGTTGAGAAGGAGGTTTTGAAAAGTTGCCTTTAGGAACAGGAGATGAGGTAGAGTCCCTTTTTTTTGAAAATTGATTTTTCCTTTTGTTCTTTTCGAAAAGGGAATTATAAGGAGTTTTGGAGCCTTGAGAGGATTGATCAGTTAATTCAGAAATTTGCTTCAAAAGATTTTCCTTTTCAGTTTTAAACCTTTCTCGTTCTTCTTCAAAAGAAGAATGGAGATCAGCCATTTTCTTTATAATCGCAGGAAAATATGGTTCAAAAACCTTTGAAGTGGAGGCTTCTTCCCCATTGGACACAGTTTGATTTTCCGGAGGAGAGAGGGCAATATAGTCATCAGAAAGAGGAATTTGTCTAGTAGCATAGCTATCATTAAGAGCAGTATAATCGAAACTAATTTAAGCTTTTGCTCTATTTTTCCTTTTGTCCTCTTCTTCCTCGCTAGTTTCAGAAGCACTAGTAAATTTCATCAGCTTAGTTAACCCTAACTTCATGTACCTTATGTCGTGCAATTGAAGGCAATCAACCTTTTTCAAGTTTTCAGGGTTTTGAAAGCCAAGTCCTTCTCTAGCATTGTAAAATTCAGTGTCCTTTGGTTTGTTGTTAAGCAGAAAAACAGTTTGTCCTGATTGGCCTCTCTTAGCAAGAATATCCTCTAACTCCTTAGTTTTAGAGTAAAGGCGTCCACGTTCATTGTTATTCATGTTAAATTTAGTAGCATCTTCAGAACGTTCTCGTTTAAAGTCATCTCGTTCCTTAGTCAACTCAGAGACAGTTTTCTTAAGTTTAGCTACTTCAGACTCTAAACTAGTGACCTTATCACGTGAATCTTTCAAATGCAAAGTTTCAACTGCTTTTTCATACATTAGTCGTTCAAAACACTTTCGATTGTTAGCAAGTCTATCTTCAAGTTCCTTTATTTGATTAGAATAAGAAGTACTTACCTGGGACTTGTCAGAAATTGTGGCTGATCCGTTGCTTGAGAGCATTGATGTGTTGGAGTAGGAACTTATCATAGACTGTTGGAGATGGATCCTTTAAATAATAGCTTTGACCAGCTTTGAGAAAAAAATAGTCTTTAACCTTGAGATTTTGATGGTCCCGGATAGAGGTAAAAGTCTAGAGGGGGGGGGGGGTGAATAGACTTTTAAAGCTTTTTCAACTATAAAAACTTTTCCCTTCTAGAAGAGTTGATCTATAATCTTTTGAGAGATTTATAGATGCGCAACGAAAGTCTTTTAACCTCTAGTAAATCAGTATGTGACACCTTCTAGCTTGAGTGATGTTCTGACTTATATAGTGAGCAGTTCACTTGGTAGTTGGCTTGATGGCAGGGAACTGCTGAGGAAATATTCAGTGTATGCTGAAAGTGAGGATAGAATATTGCTCAGAATGATGAGAGCTTTCTGGAAATATGTTGAGATGTTTATAAGTGAGAGTTTATGAGAGCAGTGGTCTCGGCTGTTGGGTGGTCACCAGGGAACTGCTGAGGCAACTGCTTAAGGAAAGATGTGAGTATGGGAAGATTGAATAAATAATATTGCTCAAGGAGATTAGGGTTTTCCGAAAATGTGCTTGGATGAATTGTGGTGTAAGTTTATAAGAGCAGTGGGCTCGGCAGTTGAGTGGTTACTAGGGAACTGCTGAGGCACCTGCTGAGTAACATGCTGTTTTTCAGAAAGATGTTTGAGCAAGTTTCTTTATAGATGATGTTATAAGATCTTTGCAATGTAGAGCTGCCTCAAAGAAAGTAAGTAATTAACCAGTAGGATAAGCAGTAAAGTCAATTGAGACTACTGTTTAGTATGCTGCTGGCAAACTAAAATCTTTTAGTGAGAAGTGTTGGGTGTGTGCTTTGTTGAATGAAAGTAAATCAACACATAGTATATCCTGGTTCAGAGGTGGTGTAATCCTCCTACGTCCAGTCCCATCCTCTTTCAGATGGATTTCCACTAAAGTATTAAGCCCAATACACTTAGTGCCAATCTAGCCTTTACAACACTTATGCCTAAATTGAAGGTGTTTCACAAGAAGTACAACACCACTCCAAGTTACTCAATCCCTTAGAATTTTCTCAATTGATCCAGTGGGGATCAAAAGGTACTCTGTCTATCTATCCACACTTAGGATTGATAACACAATCATTCCAAGTGTTTAAAATAATGTTTTGTGATTTGTTACAAGAAAGTTCTAACCTCCAACTAGGAACTAAACTTCTAGAATTTAGAAATAAAGACTCGTGACTTAGAAGTTTAGTGAAGCATGAGTCCAGGCAGTGAGTAAAGTTAAGTTCACACTTTCTCTTTTGCTAGATAGCTCGCATATGCTCAATGGAAGGTTTTCTCTACTTAGGATGCTCAAATGCTTGGTTAGAAACTTTCGTTTTAGACTATATTTATAGGCTACTCCTTTTGATTAATCTCATCCTTTGGTTAGGATCAGTTAATCTTCGTCGTTGAAGGTCTGGCAGTGACAAGTTGTTATTTCGTCTTCTTGTGCCGGAGCTTTTAATGAGGCCGTCTTCAATAATTGTAGCCGCTGAATGATCTTCCATGTGTGCATCTTATGCAGTAGGTCCGTGTACCTCTTTGGCTTTAAATGCCGGTCACTTTTTGTCTTCAATCATTTACATTCAATGTATATGATTTTCGAACTTGTGTAACTTTCTTTTTCTGACAGTTTAATTTTTGTGTGCAAATAAATTTATACTAGTAGGATTTAAATATCCTATTAAGATAAATAAAATTTACCTTATTGCATTTTAAAATTTCTGATAGGCTCGTTCCGTCCCTATCTTTTCACCCATATTTTGGGTGTTAATTGTCTAATTTTTATAATTAATCGGGTGGCTATTGGGAGGTTTTGAATAAAAAATTGTAATTTTTCGATCCCGATGCCATTCATTTTCAGTGTAGTATTTTTCTACGCAGTTTGACATTTTTGGAGTAATTTGATTGTAAATTACATATCTTTAGCGGATGTGGTGAGTTGTGATTATAAAGGCTGAGTTTTACGGTGACTAACATGTTATGTTTGGCCCGGACATTTTGAGGATCGTGTTAAGATTAATTTGACACAGCAGCCCAACAAAAAAAGGAGAGCATTCATCTGAAGCAGCCCAAAAAGTCCAGCAAGAGTAAGCGTTTTCTCATCCTGAGTTAACCCCAGCCGCACTAGTTCGTGTCTTTCCACTGTTCACACTTAGCCGCATGGATTTTTTCCCATTCCTTCAGCTCTTTGACAATCAACCGCACTTACGAGTTCATGTTTTTTTTTTCATTCGCTGCCCAACACAAAAGCAGTCGCAGGGATTTCATTCTTAACAGCCGTAGGTAGAAGATAGCCGCACATGCATTTTATTCCTTCTCTACATTCAGCCGCAGCAGCAACTAGATCAAGCAGCAATTGTTCTTTTCTTCTCTCTCGTAGAAGAGCCGCAGCACCAAGAAAAGACTCAGGAATTGCATAAGCTTCAGTTTCTTCAATTTCTTTCAATTCAATTTAGCTTTTGAGCAAGCATTGTAAGTGTTAGAAGTTTTTACATTACTAGTTTTATACTTTGGATTGAATTTCGAATCTATCTGTCTCAAACTAGTAATTTTTCCATTAAATACTCATATTTAAGTTTTTATTTCTAGCTCGGTATCATTCGTATCAATATTATTCATGTTAATTTTAATTATGAGTAGCTAATTCCATATAGGGTTTGAATTGGGGCTAGGGTTCATGGGTTCTTTAGGGTGTGAATTTAGTTTATGAAATTCAATTAATTTTCTGGAAAGTTGTATAAGATTGGTCATAATTGTCTATATGAATTTGATCACCTCATATATGAATGTCTGGTTTTAATTCAACTCTTGTCTATGAGAAATTGAGTTGAATTAGCATGAGTCTTATACAAGCAATCTGATCTTAGAAATAAGTTAGGATTGTGATAATTCATTTTAATTCTTGTCGATGAGAATTGATTTCTTTTTCTATTCAGGAGTAATTGAAAATTAATTCACTTAATTCTAATCCCGAAAGAACACCCAGAACCCGAACCATCCAATTTGAACCCTGTTTTAATATCTAGAATCAGTTTACTTTTTTTACTCTATTTTTTTTGCACTCGCTGTTAGTTAGTTTACTTTTTTTTATCACCCGAAAACACTTTATTCGGAAAGATTACCATGACTTGTGCTAGCCTGTGATCACGGACTGTATTTAAAACTTCCTTTTTGCCACTCCTTGAGAGACGATACTCGTGGTCTGGTTATTCTACAGGTTAACCAACTACGTTTTACTCACTAAAAAATACACCGATCAAATGGCGCCGTTGCCGGGGAGTGGCACGGTTGTTTGTTAAGTACTTTCTGTGGAATAGGTAAAAGCAAGTCGGTGAGACTTTCTATTTCTTTTCTGTTATTTGTTTTTGGTGTTCTTTGCGTGTGAACTAAGTTGCAGGAACCAGTGCATGCACAATCGCTCCTTGGGGGAACAAGATTTAATTGCAGGTTATTCAGATCCTGAACGCTTATTCCGAGGAAGAGCTAAAAGGCGATTGCTAGAAGAATTAAACAAAATGGCCGATGAGACAACTCTGGAGAAGTTGACGCCTAACTATGTGGCGAGAAATAGCATTGGTGCACCCACCATTGAGGCCAACAATTTTGAAATCAAGCCGGCCATGATGCAGATGCTTGCTAATAATCCATTCTGCGGATACGCCCATGAAGATCCAATGGAGCATATTGAGAGCTTTATTCAGACATGTGCCACATTCAAATACAATGGGGTATCAAGCGAGGCAGTGAGGTTGACCTTATTTCCATTCTCGTTGAGAGACAAGGCATCGCGGTGGCTCCGTAGCTTTCCAAACGGGCATTTTGATACATGGGAGAAGCTTCATCAGGCATTTATGCAGGAGTATTTTCCTTCCTCTGCCGCTATCAAAGTTCAGACAGAAATTCTCAACTTCACTCAAGCTCCGATCGAAACTTTCAGTGAAGCATGGGATAGGCTGAAGACGCTGAGAAGGAAGTGTCCAGAAACATTCATGAATTCAACAACCATTATGTGCAGATTTTATAATGGTCTTCGGATGAAGTATATGAGAGAACTAGACCGGGCATCTCAGGGGGGCATGTTTCTAAAATTGTCCCTAGAGGCAGAAGAGCAGATAATAGAGAATTTGGCTTCAAATGATAAATATTGGTACGCGAGCAAGGAGAGAGCTCAAAATCCACCCGATCTACTCAATTTAGATCCCATCACTTCACTCACAGCGAAGATCGAGGAACTAGTAGTGGATGTCAAAGTCTTGAAGGCACAGACCTCTCAGCGGCAACATGTTCACAATATTGGGGCATATCAGCCCTCTTATCCTATGTATTCTACCCCACTTCCAGTTCGAACAAGTTATCCAAGTCCAAATGGACAAGAACTAGCTCTATCTTGTGAAATGTGCATGGGATCTCACCTCACTCACACCTGTCCGTGATGTGAATTTCATGGAATACGGTCAAGGCCAGAGAGCTGGTGGGTAGTTTTTCAACAATCAAGTTCAGAGAGGAAACTTTCAGAAAGGAGGAGGCTCGTGGAGACCTGAAAATAAGAATCAGGGGTAGCGGAATGCTCCCAATTACCAAGCAAATTTTCAGAATAAAGGCAATCCAAATCAGCCCGCTTATGTCCCGCCTCACCATAGACAGCTTGAACCACCTCCGATAAATGCAGCGCTAGAGAAAACAATGGCTGAATTAGCCAAAAATCAAGCGGAGATGCACCAGCGTTTCAGCAACCTAGAAGCTCTTATCCGCCAGCTTGGTTCAGTTGCTCCTAGAGAACCAGGCAGCCTTCCGAGTTCAACAGAACCCAATCCAAGGGAGCAAGTGCAGGCTGTTACACTACGCAGCGGGAAGACCCTTACAGATGTTAATACTCCACCATTGCCTCAACAAAATGATGACCAGCGGCATCAAGACCCGAAATCCCAGGAGGTTGAAGAAGAACCAGTGGCTGTCCCTATTCCTTCCAGGAGTAATGAAGCTCAGAAAGAAGATTCTCTGAAGAAAGAGAGGAGTAAGACCACTCCACCTCTCCCGTTCCCTACACGGGTGAAGAGAAGCAATGATAACACGAACCTGATTAGATTTATGGAGCATGTGAAGCAGCTTCATATTAATGTCCCATTCATAGAAGCTTTGACGGAGATGGCGAGGTACACAAAATTTCTTAAGGATCTCCTCACGAAAAAGAGGAGGTGGGAAGAGCCGGAAGTGGTGGATCTTAATGCGGAATGTTCAGCAGTTGTTCTGAAGACCATGCCTCCGAAGCTAAAAGACCCAGGGAGTTTTACTGTACCTTGTTCTATTGAAAATTTTATGTTTAATAATGCTTTAGCTGATTTAGGATCTAGCATCAAACTGATGCCTTCCTCTGTGGTCATGAAACTTGGCATGGGTGAACTAAAGCCCACTCGTATGAGCCTTCAGCTAACGGACCGATCGGTGAAATATCCGAAAGGAATTCTAGAGGATGTATTAGTACGAGTGGACAAGTTCATATTCCCTGTTGATTTTGTGGTCATGGACATGGAGGAAGGTCGTGAGACTCCACTTATTTTAGGGAGGCCCTTTCTAGCTACCGCTAGGGCCCTTGTCAATGTTGCTGCTGGTTCACTTTCTCTGAGAGTTGAGGACGATGTGTGCACTTTTAAACTCTGAGAGGTGATGAGTAAGGCCTCAGACCCCGCTGAATCATGCCATTATCTTGATATGTTTGAGTCAGTGGAGGGGTATTTATTTGGAGGCGATAGTGATATTACCCCACCTGTTAGTGACATTCATTATGTGGAATATATGGTGGCTGAAAATGAAGAAGAAATGATTGTTGCTTGCGAGCAGGTGATTAGGGATGATGTTTTCCCTACGTTGCTTACTGAGTTTGAGGAGCAGCCCACCGATAAGGTTACTCATGAACTCAAACCGCTCCCTAGTCACCTGGAGTATGCATTTTTAGACACACATGGCCAACACCCTTTCATTATTTCAGCCCATTTAGAGTCGAGACAGAAGGAAAAATTGATGGATGTCCTTAGGCGTCACGAGCAAGTCATTATGCGTAAGCTTGAGGATCTTCGTGGGATTAGCCCAACCTTCTGTACCCACAAAATGAAGTGTGAGGAGGGGTATAAACCAGTCGTGCAACCGCAACGACGTTTAAACCCCAAGATGATAGAAGTGGTAAAGGTAGAAGTCCCGAGGCTTCTGGATGTGGGTATAATTTACCGAATTTCAGATAGCCAATGGGTTAGCCCTACTCACGTGGTCCCCAAGAAGGGGGTATGACGGTGATTCAGAATGAGAACGGGGAACTCCTACCTAGTAGGATGGTGACCGGGTGGCGGATGGTCGTTGATTATCGTAAACTAAATTAGGCCACTCGGAAGGATCATTTTCCCTTACCTTTTATTGATCAGTTGATTGAGAGTTTGGAGGGCATGCTTATTATTGTTTCCTTGACGGGATGAGCAGGTACTTTCAAGTACACGTTGATCCCGTTGACCAGGAAAAGACCACTTTTACTTGCCCATTTGGGACATTTGCATTTCGTAGGATGTCTTTTGGTCTATGCAATGCCCCTGCCACATTTATGCGTTGCATGATTGCTATCTTTAAGAAGTTTATTGGTGATTTTATGGAGGTTTCTATGGATGACTTCTCTAGTTTTGGGGAGTCATTTGATGAATGCCTCCATAATTTAGAGAAGGTGTTGATTAGGTGTGAGGAGACCCACTTGGCCTTGAGTTGGGAAAAGTGTCACTTCATGGTCAAGGAGGGTATTGTGCTAGGTCATAAGGTGTCATTTAAGGGTATTGAGGTTGACAAGGCGAAAATTGAGGCCATTGAGAAACTCCCGCCTCCAATGACTGTAAAAGCTGTCCGTAGCTTCCTTGGGCACACCAACTTCTACCGTCGCTTTATTCGGGATTTCTCAAAAATAGCCAAACCTCTCACCTGTTTGCTTGAGAAAGATGCTGATTTTTTGTTTGATGATGAATGTTTGCTTGCTTTTAACTGTTTGAGACTTAAGTTGATGGAAGCTCTAGTTTTAGTTGCTCAAGATTGGGAAATCCCTTTTGAGCTAATGTGCGATGCTAGCGATCAGGTGGTCGGGGCCATTCTTGGCCAACGGAAGGATAATCACTTCCGCCCCATCTATTACGCTAGCAAAACCTCAGCGGGACCCCAATTGAATTATACCACTACAGAGAAAGAGCTTCTAGCTATTGTGTATGCTTTGGAGAAGTTTAGGTCGTATATTATTTTATCTGAAGTAATTATCTACACCGATCATTCGGCGTTGAGATATTTATTTCAGAAGCACGACTCTAAACCTAGACTTCTCCGTTGGATTTTGTTGTTGCAGGAATTTAACATAGAGATTAGGGACCGGAGGGGTTCCGCCAAGCAAGCAGCTGATCATTTATCACGATTAGATGCTGACTTGGTAGACTCTTTCGGTAATGATGTTATTGAAGAACTTTTTCCTGATGAACATCTTTTGCAGGTTGAGATTGGATCTGAGGTACCCTGGTATGCAGACATAGCCAACTACTTAGTAGGCGATGTTGAGCCTACCGGGCTATCTCGACACATGTTAAAAAAGTTTCTGTCTGATGCTAAGTATTATTTCTGGGATGATCCTTATTTGTTCAGGATTTGTGCTGACCAAGTAGTACGAAGGTGCATTCCTGAGGGTGAAATGAATGAGATTATTTACCATTGTCATGCTGGCCCCACTGGGGGGCATTTTTCTGGTAATAGGACATCCAAAGGAGTGTTAGAGTGTGGGTATTATTGGCCCACGTTGTTCAAAGATGCGAATGCTTATGTTGCCTCATGCGATAGGTGTCAACGGGTAGGAAATATTTCTAAACGAGATGAGATGCCCCAGACATATCTATTGCCTTGTGAAGTTTTTGATGTCTGGGGGATTGATTTTGTAGGCCCGTTCCCTAGCTCAAGAGGCAATAAATTTATTTTAGTCGCTATTGATTATGTGTCGAAGTGGGCAGAGGCTATTGCGAGCCCTACTAATGATGCTAGAGTGGTTGTGCGTTTTGTAAAACAATTGTTTTCTAGGTTTGGAGTCCCCAAAGTTTCGTAATGATCCGCTAGCTCATGTTTTGTCTAAATATGGGGTTCAACATCGGCAAGGAGTAGCCTACCACCCCCAAACTCAGGGGCAAGTTGAGAATGCAAATCGGGATCTTAAGGTTATCCTAGAAAAAACTGTAGCGCAAACTCATAAGGATTGGTCAGAAAAATTAGATGACGCGCTATGGGCTTTTAGGGCAGCTTATAAGACCCCGATTGGTACTACTCCTTTCCGATTAGTTTATGGAAAGTCTTGTCATTTACCTATGGAGGTAGAGCATAGGGCACTTTGGGCTTTAAGGATTGTTTGTCGTGATTCATCTAGTGCAGGTAAGGAGCGGTTCTTTCAGCTGAATGAATTGGATGAGTGGAGGGCTCAAGCCTTTCATAATTCATACTTATACAAAGAGAGAGTAAAGCAGGCTCATGACAAGCACATTAAGGCGGACCGCCTGTTTGCGGAGGGGGAGAAGGTGTTGTTGTATAATTCAAGGTTGAAACTTTTTCCTGGGAAGCTGAAGTCCCGATGGATGGGACCATACACCGTACGTCGAGTATATCCCTATGGAAGTGTGGAGATTGAGCATAATGACGGCCGGGTTGTCAAAGTCAACGACAACCAACTCAAGCACTATTTTGGGGGAATTTTTGAAAAGGAGAAGGAGGTTTTAAGCCTCGAACCTGTCTTTGAATGAGATTTTATCTTCAAGCTAGTGACGTTAAAGAAGCGCTTCTGGAAGGCAACCCACCAAAAAAACAAAAAAAAAATATAAAAAAAAACTAAAAAAATATTAGGAGTTTAGTATCTCTTGTTTATGCATTTTTGTCCTTGTTTTTGTGTTTTCATCTCGGAGTTGTGCGGTTGGATTTCTTTGCCTTGAATTGCAGGTGTGGCATGGGAGTTCATGAACTGATTTTGGAAGAATTGCATCCCTATGTAGATGAGGTTACTCAGGGCTACACACTGCAGTTCCTTCACTGCATGCCCGGGCGCGATATGAGGGCTGGTCGGAACTTCAAGCAATTGCAGGGTTAATGGTTGGAGACCTATACATGCTTAAGAAGTTGGGATCTTTGGACAGAAACTTAGTACCATCAGAGGGAGAGATTGACCAGCTGTTGGGAGATTCGGGATGGCATCACATGCTGATTTTTTATGACCAGAGCAACTGCTCATTAACAGTAGACCGCATGAACTATTTCTCTGTTGGTAGGAGCATCACAGTACATAAGGGAAGAAACGATTGGATGGCTAACCCACTCCCATCGGGTTCAGCGGAAAGGATTTTAGCCTTCCAGTGGCAGAATTCAGCAGCTTCTACACATCTAGCAGAGTCATTTCATACTTAAGGTCATGGCTCTAAGCGCACTATACAGACTTCTCATAACCAGAGACTGATGGGCTATCCGATGCTGAGTTTTATGTTAGTCTGGAGGTTATTCACTGCAGTTTGGCTTATACGGTAATCTGTCAACTCTTACTACATTGCTAAAAATGTGTATTTACTGTCTTATTACTCCTTTGTTGAATTGTGTTGATTATTATTCTGATTATGATGTGCCACCGGGCTGAAAACCATTTTATTCTTTAACTTGCCCCCGTTATTTCTGTTTTTAATTTTTTCCGTGATATTGAGGGCGATGTCATTCCTAAGTGTGGGGAGGTTTGGTTGTAACTTGGACAAAGCATTTGGTGATGAAATTGTTTCGCTCAAACATTTTGAGGTGCACGAGGTTCTTTTCTGGTTTAGCAACGCAATAGAGGTAACTTGTTAATCTTTGTTTTCTTTTGTAATCTTCCATCTCCTCCATCTTTCTTGGAAATAATTAGTAATGGTGTAATCATCGGGGTGGTGTGTATATTCTTGGGGATGTTGGCATGTTAGATGGTTTGATTTGTGTCGATTAAATTCGGTTTTACTCGTGATTCACTAGTTCGTCATCAATAATTGCTTGACTGGCCAGCTGTTGAAAATCCTTACTCCGTAAGGAGCTCTACTTTCTAAGCATATCGGGATAAATTCATGCTAAGCAGGCAACTGATTTTTGTTATGGGGTTACACTTCGTGTGTCGAGATTTCATCTCCGAAAAGGGGCTCTGCTCATCTCGCGAATCACCCCGTGTGAGAGTTGAGAATGCATAGTAATGAGATAAACTCCCAGGCCCTATAGCTACAATCAGTCCTGTAATTCAGAATCTGGCCAACTTTTCATATATAAAAAAATGAATCACGAGCATATTGGTTTTTATCACACAATTCTTGGGTTTTTGGAATGATTGGTGGTTGGATTTCACACACCTACACCGTTGGGACCATCATGCTTTTCTATACATTTTAGTCGGTTGAAGAGGGATTTTACTTTTGATAATATTGATTAACATGTGAATCTTGGTTTCGTTGTTAAGAAAGAAAAGACCTTGTGCCGTCATTTGTTTTGAGTGTGAATGATTTTTAAACCAAGTGTTACATGTGATTATTTTGTTTTCGTGGGTTTAATACACTGTTGCTTGGGGGCAAGCAATGCTCAAGTGTGGGGAGATTTGATAGGCTCGTTCCGTCCCTATCTTTTCACCCATATTTTGGGTGTTAATTGTCTAATTTTTATAATTAATCGGGTGACTATTGGGAGGTTTTGATTGAAAATTTGTAATTTTTCGATCCCGATGCCATTCATTTTCAGTGTAGTATTTTTCTACGCAGTTTGACATTTTTGGAGTAATTTGATTGTAAATTACATATTTTTAGCGGATGTGGTGATTTGTGATTATAAAGGCTGAGTTTTACGGTGACTAACATGTTATGTTTGGCCCAGACATTTTGAGAATCGTGTTAAGATTAATTTGGCACAGCAGCCCAACAAAAAAAAGGAGAGCATTAATCTGAAGCACCCAAAAAGTCCAGCAAGAGTAAGCGTTTTCTCATCCCGAGTTAACCCCAGCCGCACTAGTTCGTGTCTTTCCACTGTTCACACTTAGCCGCAGGGATTTTTTTCCATTCCATCAGCTCTTTGACAATCAGCCGCACCTATGAGTTCATGTTTTTTTTTCATTCGCTGCCCAACACAAAAGCAGTCGCAGGGAATTCATTTTTAACAGCCGTAGGTAGAAGATAGCCGCACATGCATTTTATTCCTTCTCTTCATTCAGCTGCAGCAGCAACTAGATCAAGCAGCAATTTTTCTTTTCTTCTCTCGTAGAAGAGCCGCAGCACCAAGAAAAGATATCGGAAATGCATAAGTTTCAGTTTCTTCAATTTCTTTCAATTCAATTTAGCTTTTGAGCAAGCATTGTAAGTGTTAGAAGTTTTTACATTACTAGTTCAATACTTTGGATTGAATTTCGAATCTATCTGTCTCAAACTAGTAAGTTTTCCATTAAATACTCATATTTCAGTTTTTATTTCTAGCTCGGTATCATTCGTATCAATACTATTCATGTTAATTTTAATTATGAGTAGCTAATTCCATATAGGGTTTGAATTGGGGCTAGGGTTCATGGGTTCTTTAGGGTGTGAATTTAGTTTATGAAATTCAATTAATTTTCTGGAAAGTTGTATAAGATTGGTCATAATTGTCTATATGAATTTGATCACCTCATATATGAATGTCTGGTTTTAATTCAACTCTTGTCTATGAGAAATTGAGTTAAATTAGCATGAGTCTTATACAAGCAATCTGATCTTAGAAATAAGTTAGGATTGTGATAATTCATTTTAATTCTTGTCTATGAGAATTGATTTCTTTTTCTATTCAGGAGTAATTGAAAATTAATTCACTTAATTCTAATCCCGAAAGAACACCCAGAACCTGAACCATCTAATTTGAACCCTGTTTTAATATCTAGAATTAGTTTACTTTTTTTACTATATTTTTTTTCCACTCGCTGTTAGTTAGTTTACTTTTTTTATCACCCGAAAACAATTTATTCGGAAAGATTACCATGACTTGTGCTAGCCTGTGATCACGGACTGTATTTAAAACTTCCTTTTTGCCACTCCTTGAGAGACGATACTCGTGGTCTGGTTATTCTACAAGTTAACCAACTACGTTTTACTCACTAAAAAATACACCGATCAATTTCCAGTATAATTTTATTAGTCTAAAAAATTGTACATTTATTTGTCACTTATGATCAAAATTTAAACACTAATACTTGAATTAAATAAGACACAATGTACAGGTGAAAAGTATATTGGCATCATCAAAATCTATCAAAATTGGGTACTAACAATTCCCCCCTTTTTGATGATGCCAAAACTATACAACACAGGAAACAAATATTTTTATTGATTTTCAATAAGGTAAATGTACATTGGTCTAAAATCTAAAGTACAATAGTTTTTAGTCACTTTCGGACTTTTGGTCTAGTCTACTCTTGTTGGCTTCCTCTACCTTCTTCTTGGCTTCTTCTTTTGCTTTGGCTTCTTCTGCCTTTCTTTTTCTGATTTCCATTTCTTCTTGGAGGCGTTTGTTCTTTTTTCTTATTTCTGTCGCTTTCTTGGCTGCCAGTGATCTTATAGAGGAGGGGCCTGCTTGTGTTGTCCTTTCCCCCTTTTTGGCATCAGTTGTAACACCCCCATTTTCCCCAACCAAAAATACATTTAAATAATGATTTATTCAAAGGAATTATCAACTTTATTTGAAAACATCAGAGATACAGCGGAAGTCTTAATAGGGAAATGGGTGTTACCGCCACACTCGGTTCTCACATAACCGAATGCACAGGCTAAACCACCATCCAAAAATAATCCAAGTATTTAAGTACTGAAAATTTCAAAAATAATTTAAATGTCTACATGATCTCAAACTGAAATAAATAATAACTAGGTGATTACAAATACTAAACTACGTGATCTAACGCAGCTCTCATCAACATGCATAACCTTCATCACCTGCACAATTAAAGTGCAGAAAACAAAGAAAAGGAAACAAAAATTAGCTTTTTAGCTAAGTAAGGCCCACCCAACCCCGTAAAATAATCACATTTGGCGAAAATAGTTTTATACATAACTATAACTTTAAAAATTCATTTTCTTCCCACAAAACTAATTTGGTGTTTAAAAAAATATTTATAAACTCTTAGTAACTCACACATTCATATACAAGTATCACTTTTCAAAATATAATTTATAGCTAATCACTCTTTTTAAATATACTCAATTGCTCTTTGAAAATAACCTCCATAGTCTTCCTCTTTCCAAAACCAAAATCTCCTACTTTCTTTTAAGATGGGCGGTACTTTAAGATACTTATGCCCGAAGCCCAATGAGTCGTTGTTATTTACGAACTCATCCCGGAATCCAGTTCCCATCACTATCTCTTGAATCGAAACGGCCACTAAACTTGTTCTCTTCAAGTAGTAGTAGCCCTAACCATCCTCCACATTTATCCGGATGTGAAAAACCGACACCACGGATTTCTCCCGGGGTGCTCACCTCTTATGAAAATGTTAATTTTCATCTTGAATCAAGATACACTTCAAAATATTTTCCAAACTCTCTAAATAGTCTAAAAGGTATTTAAAAGTATTTAATACCCCAAAAGTACATAGTTTGTATTTCTCAAATACTATAGATTTAATATCTCTTTAAATAACACATATACATAATTTACAATTCACACTTAATCACATAATGCATAATAAGCATATAATACGAGGAAACAATTTTGGATTGGCAGGGAAACTTACAATTTAGGGTTTATCCAAAACTAGTTCCAAAATAGTATTTAATACCATATTCAAAATAATCCAATAAGGATATTTATAACTCCAGAATATATATGTAAATTTTCATACCAAATTATACATTTAAAAATATATAATTTATCCCAAAAGATTTGATCTCACAACACTTTCCAAAAAGAGGGTTTAACCCAAACAACCACTTCCCAAAAGTAGCATTTACTACTACCACCAAAATAATCAAATTGGAGTATTCTGAACCCATAATATATTTTCAATATAACCAGTTATAATAGTCTCAAATCATTCTTCAACTCATACCAAAACAATCACCAAAATTTTCCAATCCCAAAAGAACAATCATCAAAAATCACAATTTTAGCCATGATAAACTGATTTGATAAATTCACCAAAAATCACACGTTCATAAATTCCCAGAAAAGCATACATCATCATACTCATACTATTATAGCCGAATTATCCATAAAACTTCAGAAAGAAACTCAAATCATAGCACAAACCCTAGTTTATACAATATAGGAGCAAAATAGTAATTTTGGTTGCAATAGTCCTTACCTCGAGGCTAGCAACGAATCCTAAACGTTAAACCTAGTTTGATGGATCATTCGCACGTACCTAGGAAGTGATAGGTTCGAAGGATCTCAATTTAGGAGAAAGAAATTTAGGAAACGGATGAACGACGCGAATTAGGCAACAAACGCACTTACCGGAATATTGGATTGTTTGATCTCATCATTGGCATAAATTTCGTGCTGGATACGTTAATATTGAAGAGCTGGAAGGGATAGAGCTTGAAGAGGCGGTAATAGGGTTTTTGGAATGAGGAAAATCGGATTAGGGATGTATTTATAGTGAATTTCCGAAGTTTGAGTTGCATTAAGATACAACAGGAACGCACGGGTGCGTACCTTCCACGCACGCCGTGCCTGACCCCCAGACGCCCCAAACCTTAGTTTTTGCCCCGTTTATTCCCCATTTGGACCTCCCCTTTGTCCCAAACACTAAACCAAACATAATAAACGACCTAAAGACCGTGTAAACAATATGAAACATAATTTTAATTATTTCCCAAATTCTCTCAAATTTTCGGGGTATTACATTCTCCCCCCTTAAAGGACGCTTCGTCCCCGAAGCTCAAGTCAAAACACAGTCGAGATGAAACACTGAAGGAAATACCTTATCAAAAGGGCTCTAGATATAGAATACTAAGAGTTTACTTACCTTAACCACGTTCCTATGGGTTGCCATAGTTCTTACAAAAGAGAGATACAAAGTTCAGAATACTAGAAACTCTTACAGATCCCTACCAAGTTCTACCTAAGATCACAAGATATAGGATACTAGGAATATACTCATAACTATTCTCAAGTTTACTAACTCACAATATACTCTAGGATAAGGAACACCTACAAGCAACCATTGAAAAAATTCCATTCAATTCACAAATCTCAAATCAATCCAAGACATCACAAAATACAACAACAAAAATCAATCACACAATCTCACACGCGCCTAAGCCATAAAATTCCTCCCTAATAAGATTCATTAATCCTAATCAATGAAAATAATATTTCAATTCAAAAAGTTTTTTGAAAATCTTTAAATGGTTTTGAAAAACAAAGGCTCTGATACCAATTTGTAACACCCCCATTTTTCCCAACCAAAAATACATTTAAATAATGATTTATTCAAAGGAATTATCAACTTTATTTTAAAACATCAGAGATACAGCGGAAGTCTTAATAGGGAAATGGGTGTTACCGCCACACTCGGTTCTCACATAACCGAATGCACAGGCTAAACCACCATCCAAAAATAATCCAAGTATTTAAGTACTGAAAATTTCAAAAATAATTTAAATGTCTACATGTTCTCAAACTGAAATAAACGATAACTAGGTGATTATAAATACTAAACTACGTGATCTAACGCAGCTCTCATCAACATGCATAACCTTCATCACCTGCACAATTAAAGTGCAGAAAACAAAACAAAGAAAAGGAAACAAAAATTAGCTTTTTAGCTAAGTAAGGCCCACCCAACCCCGTAAAATAATCACGTTTGACGAAAATAGTTTTATACATAACTATAACTTTAAAAATTCATTTTCTTCCCACAAAACTAATTTGGTGTTTAAAATAATATTTATAAACTCTTAGTAACTCACACATTCATATACAAGTATCACTTTTCAAAATATAATTTATAGCTAATCACTCTTTTTAAATATACTCAATTGCTCTTTGAAAATAACCTCCATAGTCTTCCTCTTTCCAAAACCAAAATCTCCTACTTTCTTTTAAGATGGGCGGTACTTTCGGATACTTATGCCCGAAGCCCAATGAGTCGTTGTTATTTACGAACTCATCCCGGAATCGAGTTCCCATCACTATCTCTTGAATCGAAACGGCCACTAAACTTGTTCTCTTCAAGTAGTAGTAGCCCTAACCATCCTCCACATTTATCCGGATGTGAAAAACCGACACCACGGATTTCTCCCGGGGTGCTCACCTCTTATGAAAATGTTAATTTTCATCTTGAATCAAGATACACTTCAAAATATTTTCCAAACTCTCTAAATAGTCTAAAAGGTATTTAAAAGTATTTAATACCCCAAAAGTACATAGTTTGTATTTCTCAAATACTATAGATTTAATATCTCTTTAAATAACACATATACATAATTTACAATTCACACTTAATCACATAATGCATAATAAGCATATAATACGAGGAAACAATTTTGGATTGGCAGAGAAACTTACAATTTAGGGTTTATCCAAAACTAGTTCCAAAATAGTATTTAATACCATATTCAAAATAATCCAATAAGGATATTTATAACTCCAGAATATATATGTAAATTTTCATACCAAATTATACATTTAAAAATATATAATTTATCCCAAAAGATTTGATCTCACAACACTTTCCAAAAAGA